ACACACTTCTAGACCATTGATGGGCTATTAAAGAACACATCTTAAGAAATCAAAGATTCTAGAGTATTCTGAACCTAATGAAAATTAAAATGTATCAAGATCTGAGGCACACACCTAGAAGCAGTACTAAAGGGCACTAAGTACTTGAGTACCTTTAGTCCCATAAACTTATGGGACTAAACATAAGAATACAGTACAATTCAAAGTGTATTAGCTTTGAATATCACTCAGTTGAAAGTGATTAGCTTCTTGAGAAACTATATTTAACTAGCATTTCTTTTTATAAAGTAAACAAGAACCAATGAAATGGAAAAAAATAGAAAAATATGAAAGTTCATTATTGAAAAGAGCAATAAAATTGATCAATCTGTAGCCAGACTGCATAAAAAAGACAAAAATGACCAACACCAGGAGTGAGAGAAATAACATCACTGGACTCTCAGAACTTAAAAGGAATAGAAAATATCCCTTTAAATTTATGCCAATAAATCAACAACCTAGATGAAATGGAAAAAAAATCTTTGAAATATACAAACTACCAAAGTTCACTCAAGGGAAAAACAAAACAAAACAAACAAACCTCAATTTTCTTATATCTATTAAAGAAAGCTGTCATAAAAAACCTTCCTATATTGAAAACTCTAGGCCCAGGACCTGGTGAATTCCACACATAGTTAAGGAAGGCATAATATCAACTGCATACAAACTCTCTAAAAATTTAAATAGGGGTCAGCAAGATGGCTCAGTGTCTGAGAGAAACCAGCATCTGGATTCCTCACTAAATTCAATCTCTCTCTCTCTCTCTCTCTCTCTCTCTGCACGCGCGTGCGCGCACACACACACACACATACACACACACACACACACACACACAGAGGGAGGGAGAGAGAGGGAGAGAGAGACACACACACACACACACACACACACACACACAGAGGGAGGGAGAGAGAGGGAGAGAGAGAGAGGGAGAGGGAGAGAGAGACAGAGAGAGAGAGAGCAGAGAGACTGCAGTACTGGAGATCAAATGCTACAGGGCTTTGTGCATGCTAGGTAAGCACTCCACCACTGACCCAGACCCACCCCTTGGCCCTCACAAATACATTAAAATTTTTTTTTTATTATTTTTATTCTGTGTATGAATGTATTGCCTGCATGGGCACCATGTTGTACAATGCCTGAAGAGGTCAGAAGAGGGTACTGGATTCCCCTGAAACTAGACTTCTGGATGGTTGTTAGCTGACATGGGGTATTAGGAATTGAACCTGGCTCCTCTGCAAGAGCAGTCAGTGTTCTTAACCACTGAGCCATCTCTCCAGCTCCCACAAATATGTTTTTAAAGGCACTGTTCTGCTTCCTGGCTTCAGTTTTACTATCTCATGAGACTGGCCTTTATTAGATTCACCAGGTCTACTTCTGGTAAATGTTAGAGCTATGAAGAGGGTAGACTGTGACACTGGACTTACTTGGGCTCAAATCCCAGCTCTGCTCAACACTAGGTAATGTATAACCTTCAACTGTTTTGACCCTGTGTACCTCATTTTCCAATCTCTGAAGGGGATGATAAAAGGACTTTCTTGACAGGGCATTGTGAGGATTGAGTGTGAGTGAGAGAGAGAGAGAGAAAGAAAGAGAGAGAGAGAGAGAGAGAGAGAGAGAGAGAGAGAGAGAGAGAGAGAGGTGGTGGGGGGAACAGCATGTATATGTATAGCCCTTAGAACAGTGTCAGGGATATATTAAATACTAAAAATACTTCTTATACTAGAAGT